GCTCGTAGATCTCCTTTGGGATCTGTAAGGCTTTTGTGCGTCGCTTGAACTGATCCGTACTCATATGACGGTGCTTAAGGTGAAGCTTGTAGAGTTCTACAGGGTCCTTAAGCTTCTCATGAATCCTGCGAAGAGCAATGGGAAGAGATGGCGAAGGTTCTGCGACAATCTCTTCACCTGTTGGTGAGTCTGTGCCAGGAGCCGGGTATTCTCTTGACTCAAGTGGTCTTACCTCCGTCCCGTCATCAGCTCCTGGGACTGTAGACTTCTCTTCAACAGGAGGTTTGTCCGCATATTTGCGGGTTTTCTTCAGAAGGTTTTTAAGACCCTTTGGAGTCTTTATCTTCGCAGATGGAACCTCAAGTCTTTCTTCTTCTGGAGGTTCATGCGGTGCAGAGGATTCTGCAGGTTTGTCTCTAGAGCCTGATGATGGTTCCGATGGTCCGGAAGGCTCAGGAACATCTCCAGATGATTCTGGTGGATCAAGTCTCTTGGCAGATGATTCTGCCGGATCAGATGGAAGAGGCTTCCTTTTCCCTGAAATCCTCTTCGGTGGTGGATCAGCTGCTCCCTCAGGTGCTCTGTCACAACCCTTGAGGTACGTGTGAGCCTTTTTCTGTCCGGCACAGGCTGGACAGCGACCTTCCGGTATCCTAACATAAGGCTTATTGGCTCCTAGAGCAGTCTCCGTCGCACGGAACGATGTACCTGACTTAGGAAGGTACTTCCTGGTGGAAGTAAAGCCTAGAAGGTCCAATACCAAATGGTTATTGGTACTAATCGGAAGAGGGGTTTTATACAAACCGAAAGCTTCACACGTTGCTAGGTCAGCTGTTGGACTACACTCGAGGGTCATTCTTAGATTTCTCATCTGTTCAATGGAGAACAAAATGGGGACTCTTCCCTGATCCAAAACTTCTATGGTTGTATCTCTCCTTGGAGTTGTGTTAAACCATAGAGTTACACGCTCCTTGATAAGAGCTGTTTCACTATCTGCGAAAGAGAACTTCGTGTTCGAAGGTGAAAAAGTGAAATCAATCATGCCTGGGGCATGTTGCTTCACGGCCTTGATAAGCCTGTTCACCGCATAGCGGGAACCCATAGCCCTAGTACAACCAGAGTCAAGAATGACAAAGGTAGGGCTCTTATCAAGATTGATCCGCTCTGTGAGAGCAGATAGGACGGTGTGCTGCAACGGAAACACTGCTGTTGCAGTCTCCACACCTTGCCCCTCGGATGGTTCAAAAACCTGGGGCGCGTAACTCACTGATGAGTTGTACACGGGTTCTTGGTGCGCGCTCGGATCTGTGCCTCTACCTGATGATCCTGCTTGATTTCTTCTCTTCTTTTTCCGTGTCTTTCTTCGTGAGGCTTGTGATGCATAGTATGTATAAGACGTTTGATCGTCATAAGCGGCATAATTCCAACTGGAGTCAGTATAATAACTGTCCTCATACCATGAATCCCAGCTCGGTGCGGTGGAACTTTCATAGGCCTGTGGAGATCCAGTTTGGTCTCCTTGTAAGGAGGCAGACTTAGCTGTATCCTTACCTTTGCCTTTTGATTTTGTACCCTTGAAGGAGCTTCCTTTATCTCCTTTGTCCTTTCCTTTTCCTTTGCCTTTTCCACCTTTTCCTTTTTCCTTTCCTTTACCTTTACCGAAATAGCTGGAATCAGTTGGATCATGTTCTGCCTGGTTGGCTCTCCCTTTTCCGCGGTATGACCTAAAACGGCCACGTCCTTTTCGCTTGCCACCCTTTGCTCTTCCCGGTGATCCGGGACGCATTCTTGGTCTTCTTCCCTTTTTGAATCTCCTTGCAACGAAGGCTTCATGGTCGTCAACTGTCCAGAAGACAGCTTCTTCATCCTCGGCGGCAAGAAAGCCTTCCTCAAGGGTGTCTTCGTCTTGGAGCCAGAATCCATCGACTCCGTCGTATTCACCCTGATCGAGGATGAGGAAGTTTCGACCTCCGCGTTTGCGGCGTTGATCTCTCCTTCCATGGCGGTCCTTCTTGTGAGAAGTGTGCCGAATATTGGGATCCTGCAGACCAGTTCTGGTCGTTGAGAACTGATCGAACATGGTCTGCCGTACTATAGGGTACGTGTAGGTCTCAATTCGGTAACCTTGGTTGGTCAATGCTGTTACCAACCTCTCACGTTGCATCTCATTTAGGTCGGACTGCACTAGGAAGAGGAGAGCTAGGAGATTATCATTTAGAGGAAACGCTCTTCGATGATTATCAAGGCGTTCCTTGTTCCATGTTTCGAAGAAACGTGCGGCGTATGTGTCTCTCTCGGTTGCATCCTGTAGGCGCATGAAGGTTTGATCTGCTTGCACAGCCTGCATGAAATCCGGATGGGCATCTTCCAGAATTATCTCTGGTAAGAGATCCATCCATGAGTTTCTCACGCGCTGTAGCACGATCTCAAACTTAGCAATCCAAGTCACAAAGTCTTGGTTGCCCTTCCATGCCTTGAATAGGCCGAGGAAACGCCACAGGAAAACGTACTGTTCTCCTTTCACGAAAAATGGACGCATCTTCTTCTTGAAGTAATCTACTCCATCTGGGGCTGCAAGCCTTTCTCTGTTGAGTGATTCTTTTTGTACTGCGGCCAATCCGGAGAGCCTCGTCTTGAGAGACGGACCTCTTTTGGTGTCATCCAGCGTTGTTATGTCGCACCAGTCGTCAATCAACTGTTCATACTCAAACCACGAGGTGGTGCCATCATAGGCAGGCGCGATCTTGGGCGTTATGCCTAATGATGCAAGCATGCGGTCAGATGTTGCATATGACTGTGCGACATAAGTAGCTGGACCTTGGGAGGTCTCTTCGTTCTCATATCCCCCGGAGGATTGGGAACTGCCGTCGGCTTCGCTATGCGAGCTCGACATTGTGCTGCCTCTTATCCGCTTGGTTAAGCGTTCGGCGAGGCCGACCGCTGTAGCGGACTTTGTGAGGCGGGCGGCCCTTTCCGGGCTCCGCTACCAGAAAACTGTGCCGATACACCCCCAAGGAATACTCCTTGTGAGGAGGTGTATGACCAGTTTATTCCCTAAGGATCAAAGGGCAGCGCCCTGCACACGGACAGTAGTTGTTTTGTCTTGCTACGCAAGGAGAGCTTGTCTTGTCTCAATATGGTAAAACCACTGTGAGCCAATGGGCAGCGGAATGTATATGTATGAGCATGCAGCCATTGCTGTAGGTACCTGTTAGAGCTACCCCTTTAGAGGTTTATGGTTTCACCCCCCCCCCCCCCCCCCCCCCCCCCCCCCCCCCTCCCCCCGCCATTCCCCCCCCCCCCCCCCCCCCCCTCAAGGTTGTCAAGGTCGCAGGCCCCCCACAGGATCACAGACCCCCAAATTAATTGCAGTAAACAGTGGTGCTAGTAGTAGTAGTCGTAGTAGCAGCAGTAGTAGCAGTGGCAGTAGCAGTAGCAGTAGCAGTGCCACAGGAGTTTGATTAATCGTGGGACGTTGATTAATCGTGCGTGACACACGATTGCTGGGGATAGCTCAAAAAGCTTGTTTGGGGGCTTGGAACGACACAGCAAGTAGTGGTGAAATCACCACTTTGGAGGATTAAAACGTGAAGCGGTTTTGGGGCCAATGAGGTTTCAAGTTTAATATCGGGGAAGGGTTTAGGCCTAGACCAAGTCTTGCCCCCTTTAAAAGTAGTCTTCGGTTCACTTGTTGAAATTTTAGATCCCCAGACGGTGTTGCCTTTAATCGTGGGGGTTTTCTGCAAAAAACGATCCTTATTTGGGTGCTGCCTTTAAAGTAGTACAGATTGGGGCCGGAGCCGCCCGCAGGCCGCCTTTAATCGTAGAGGGATTATTAATCCTAGGTCAACATTAAACGTGCCCCCTCTTTTGGCGATTCCGAGTCCTCGGTACCCCATGCTTACTGGTCGCAGCTGCAACGCCAGATCAACAGCCCGACTGACTAGAGGATTGACGGATTGACAGACTGATTGACAGACAGCCAGACTGATTGACGGCTCGGTTGGCAGACGGACTGACTGGCTGACCGACACACCGCTGGACGACCGACTGACTGACTGACTGACTGACTGACTGACTGACCTTGCGGTTGGCAGACGGACTGACTGGCTGACTGACTGACTGGCTGACTGACCGCGCGGTTGGCTGACCGACTGACTGACTGACCGCTCGGTTGGCTGATTGACCGACTGACTGACTGACCGCTCGGTTGGCTCGTTGACTGACTGACTGAGTCCTGCGTCCGCCGAACCGAAAACCATAAAAAAATACACCCAAAAAACCATAAAAACATACCAAAGAAGAACTCCACCCGGACGTAACCGAAACCCCTAACCCCTAACCCCTAAACCATCCTAAACCTAAACCCCTGTAACCTGTAACCCTCAACCCTAACCGAAACCCCTAACCCCTAACCCCTGTAACCCAGAAGTCCTAGAAGTCGTTCACGAGGAGGAGGAAGAGCCAGGCGATACAGAGCGAGGAAGCGTGGCAATTCATCTCTGCGGCTCGCCAAAGAAAGCCGGGAACCCGAAAAGCCCAAACGCCTGACCGAAAAGTAGGTTAAGTAATGGTCCAAAACCTACAAAGGGGGGGCATAAGGGGCGGTTATTCTACATACTTTTGGGGTCCAGGTAGACCCCGAAATCCAACAAACCGAGAACTCAGAGCTTGAGGACAGGGTACTAGGGTGTGATGACGTTCAGGGCTTGGGGCCTAGGGCTACAAGGCTTAACATTTAAGAGGTTAGCGGTCGTAGGCATACCTCAGCCAAGCCGCTGGCTTTGCCATGAATGGACAGATTTGGGAATCCAAGTCCTTCCCACGCGTACTGCAAGTGACTTGCCACAATGCCAGTGGGGAACGGGGCTCTGTCCGGGCTTTTGCCTCAAAGTTCCAGGAAGGCGGGCATCGTTTAAAGGACATACAGTACGAGGATGTGCTCCTAGCCCCAAGCCGAGACCTTACCAAAACCCCGATGTTTTTCCTGCAAAAGCCAGGAAGATTCCATCAAAGAGCTTCTGGAAAGGCTTCTCGAATTCCGGAAGAATTTGCAGGCCGCTGGGAATTGGACCTGGTTTGGAGTTTGTGCTCGAGCGTGCAGTGTGAGTATGCACCTATATGGATGTAGATTCATGTAGATTGTCGGAACAGGTCTTGCGATCCATTATGCGATAACCATATCAAGAGCCTCCCCCAAAATAGTTTTGGATTTTTTTTGGCACCATTTCTAGCATGATTGCAGGTGCGGAAGCAAAATGCCGCGAAACTTGACATTCGAGCAGAGCTCACGCAGGCCTCGGCCGTCTGTTCGGGTCTTCGACAGTGTCGACGTAGAACCATAGTCACTTTTACTGCGATTGCAGGGAACAGCTTAGAAGCTGCCACCACCCTGTAATAGTAACTATAAGGACTATATAAGGGCCCCTATTATACCACTATTGGAACAGCTGAGGAGATCAGAGGGTCTTAGCCCGAAGCCCTACCTGGAGGTTCATAGGTAGTTATAAGTGGGGTTATAGGTAGGGTAGGTATAACCCATATTAGAGGACTTGTAACCCTACTTATAACTACCCATGAACCTCCAAGTAAACGTACAGCAACCCCCAAAAAGTTGGAAGTCGGATTAAGGCCAAATAGTGCTGGGATTCCCGTTACATTACTCTTATAAGGACTGAGGCTATTGGGTTTCCAACTTTTGGGCTTCTACGTAAACCTTCACAACAGCTACAGACGCAAGTCATAGCATGTTGGGGTTAGAAAGAGGTTGGGCGTACGTTGTACTTTCTTAGGGGTACTGAGAAATTATTTTTAGTTTTTGGTTATTATAATCCCCAAGAAACAGCTAAAATTGTAATTTTTGCTAGGGTTCTAAGTTCAGTATAGCTTTGCGTAAAGTGAGGGACAGAAGAGTAGAACACCATCCGACACCTGGAGTGTTGGCACCTAGATTTTTGACCGGAAGCTTCCGAAAGCAGAAGATGCCCCCAGCTCCTAATTCCCCCCAAAAAGCCTGGGACCCCTTAAACGCTCCTTATTCTTATTATTAAGGCCCCGCAAATACAGTACTCTTATAGATCCCTTATGGTAGCCCTTATAGACCCCTCCCAGAGTACACCCCTCATAATGCCCCTTTTAGTAGTCCTTACTGACCCCTTTACAAAGGAACCCCAAAACCATTTATTTGAGGCCCCCGTAGTACTCGCAACAGGAACTCGCCCAGCTGCATCCGCAGCTACGCAGCGGCTATGGCGCCTCGCCTTCCAAGTTTTCAGCAAAACCAGCAAACGAAATTTCCGGTTTAGGGTTTAACGGTTTAGGCTTCAGGATTTAGGGATTTCGGGTTTCGGGGTTGCTGGTTTAGGGTTTAGGGGGTTACTGGGGCACATAATATATGGTTAGTAACCTGCTACTTGGGTCACTGGGGCCCTGGGACCAGAAAACAAAATTTTGAGCAAATGCCACAAGCACATACACTTGCACGCTCACACCTGCGCTTTCTTCCTCGCCCTCTAGATATATATGGTTCGTTGTTGTGCTCAGGCTAATATACTGGTGCTTGCTATGTTAATCTCGCTTTCGATTTGTAGTGGCTTCAGCCTCGATATCATTTTGCAGCTTGCATTCCCTGCTACTGCTGCTGTCCGTCTAGACTCGTCCCGTACAGCGTTTTCACGTATCACGTCATCTGGTGTTTTCCTGTACATGCATCTGTCTCTAGGTTTATCGGCGAGGGTTCAAGATGCAAAACTCATAACGTGCTCGTGTTGTTTCGGTGCACCCAAAGAATGCGCGAGTGAGTCTTTCGAGCTGGGTTTCAGCGGATTAGGGGTTATAGAACTTAGCAGTTGGGGTCAGTCAGCGTCCACGCAATTTGGTGACGGAGTTTTGACTGACGTTAACAGATCCCGACCCATATAGTGTGTAGCCCACAAGAAGTCCAGTGTAGTCCTTAAGCAAAAATTCTATAGACCGTTGGCTGCAGCAGCCGGGTTGTAAGTTTGGAGCTACCTTTCCACACTGCAGGGGTTGAACGGTTGATGATATAAATCCTGCATGACCCATTATAAGGACTATACCATAATTCCCATAGTTTAGGGTCCTTAAGGTCATGCAGGATTTTTATCATCAACCGAAGCAGTCATGGAGAACCACCCGGCAGCCTGGGTTCGCAGAAGAATCTAGGGCTTAGAGTTTACAAACCCTGGAGGTTTAGGGTTAAGGGATACACCCAGCGGGAAGCTGCTTTCTGGACGTTCAGGCAGATGGAAAGGGGTCGTCTAAAACAAAGGGTTTAGGGTTTCTTAAAATCCCAAAATCTTCGAACCCCAATGCCTCAGGACTTGTGCAGAAGATGCCGTTTGCCGGTCGGCGTCGCGAGTCCGAGGTGGGCTTCGGGTTTTCAGATATTCCTGCAAGGTACAGATGGGAGTTTCCGAAAATTAGGGGGTACCTTATTTTGGGGTCCGTATAATAAGGATCCTACTATTTAGGGTATTATATTAGGGTCCCCTATTCTCGGAAACTCCCATATACGAATACTTTATGCACATAGGCCGTAAGGCAATTTCTATGTAGTGACTTTAGGGCCAACCCATATGCATTTACCTGTTGTACATTGTAGGCGCAGGGCAAGGTTGTAAATGCAACTTCGTGCTCGTCTAGGGATTTGGGTTTAAGAAGGTACACTTCACGCAAAAGACATCAAAACTCCTAAGCGGCTAAACCCAAAGCCAGTCAAGTATCATGTTTTTGTTGTTTTATTTTTTTTGGAGTTCGTGTTTTCTTTGTGGATTTCCCTAAGGGTCCATGTAAAGTAGTCTCTATATAGGTACTGTGGGGCTTAATTATCTACTATTTGAGTACATGGACCCTTAGGGCTTGGGAAATGAATGTTGGGAGCTCCCGTTCAGCCCTCCCAAACGATCAGCTATAGCCCAAAGTGGTTTAGAGTTTAGGGTACCAAATTTTAGCATGTAGGGTTTCTAGATTAGAAAATACTATAACCCTATCCCTCCAAGAACCTCATAGTTAGGGCCCTGGACCCCTTAAGGACCCCATAATAAGGTCCCTGGAGGCATTGGGTAATGATTTGGGGAAGCAGCAGAGCCCTTTTTCGAGCGTAGGTAAATACCGAAGTCCAAGGCGCACCGTAAGCCTGAAAAATGGGAGTTTCCGAAAATTAGGGGGCTACCTTATTTTGGGGTCCTTATAGTAAGGATCCTACTACTTAGGGTACTATATTTGGGTTCCCTATTTTCGGAATCTCCCAAATGAATGCTACAATTTTCCGGACCCATAGGCTCCACAGCAGTTCCTTTTTGGGGATTACCTTAAAGGCCGGATTCTTAATATTAACGACAAAAAGGAACTGCAATGGAGCCTCTAGGTAACCTACCCAAACGGTCCTAGGTACTGATATGGTGCGCATTTGGTGATGGATCTCGCGAGAAGATCTAATCTATATAATCAACCCCGTCAACCCCTCATGGAGCTAAAGCCCTACACCCTAAACGCACATGCCTCGCCTGGATTGTCCGAGTTGCGAGTGCTGCAACCCTCAACACTTCCTGCCTTGCGCAGGACTCCCAAGCATCGGGCGGTCCTGCTGTGCCAAACCTGAAGGCCCTGAGGTGATGTCATGGGGTCCAGTTGGTCGAGCAGAGGATTAGGGCTTTAGCTTCCAGGTTAGGCCGATTTTCTTAATCTAAAGGGAACTCCAGAAAGTTGGAATATGGTTTCATGGTAGGACCCCCTATAATTTACCTTAAAGGGGTTACGATAATGATATTCCAACTTTCTGGCTTCTACTGCAAGGGCGCCTGTATAAGTCGGACACCCAACCTCCAGTTGTACACCGTGACAGACTACTACCACCCCACTACGACCCACTATCGGCGAGGCTGCAGTGGCTGTGGCGAAGTTCAAGAAGAAGCTAGACCTGCTTCTTGTCTCACTGCTGGGGCTAGCTTCTTCATAATTCTTCGGCTAGCTGTTTCATATACTTACTTAGGGTTTAGGGTACCTGGTTTTGGGATCCTTATAATGAGGATCCTACTGTTTAGGGTACCGTATTAGGGTCCCCTGTATTTCTCTAGACAGCGGACAGCTGTGTTCTAGGGGCCTCCATGAGTTGCAAGATGTGACCACAAGGGCTCAATAGACTCTCGAAGTAAGACCCAGGGCTGTTTAGGGTTTACGGCTTAGAATTCCTGGTGCCTTACTTGTGGGTCCTGATCGCAAAAAGCTTCGTAAATTTTCCGATGCTCCATCGCGCAGGTTTAGGTTTCAGGTGCTGGAGCCTGCGGGTTCAGGGGCTAAAGTTCAGGCATTACAGCATGAGGGCTCGAGGTGTTCGCGGCACGTTTTTGGGTGATAGTATGTGCCTTTCCAGCAGCAGCTTGAGATGGAGCTAACCAGGGGTCATGTTTCGGAACATAGTTTTAGGCTACCATAGAAAGGGACGCATCTGATTTACTATAGATTAAGTCGCAGTTTGATATGCTGACTTTTCGTCCTCAGAAATGCAACCTTGCTTCTCTGGGGTTGCTATTGATCGATTGTTTTTTGATTTGCTGGGTTTGAGCCAGGACTTACCTAAGGGTCCATGTACCCAAATAGTATATACTCTGGCCTTAAAGTTGTCCCTATATAGGTACTTTGGGGGCCCACGTACATACTGTTTGGGCACATGAACTTTGAGGACTTGAAGAACTTCTAGTCTCAAGTCGCTGTTGGTGCTGGTGTCCTCGCGGTGATTGCTTGTTGGAGGGAGCTGTGGAGTGGAGCAGGGTCAGGCGTTTAGGGAAGCAGCTTTGGCAGTTAAGGGTTCGTAAGGATTCTTTGGGACATTTCCCAAGACTGAGTTCGAAGAGAACGCTGAAGTTGAGAGGTTCACGGCTTCCATGGACCTAGCAATGTAGCAAGTAGCCAATGTAGCAAGTAGTTTTGCTGAAACCAGTGTGTGGCCAGGGTCCTAACGTAAGAACACAATATAATCCCCAGGTCCTACACCCTAAGGCGCTGAACCCCAAAGCTGTTGCAGGTAAGTGGCTCGGTTTTATCGACTCACCGGCTGCTTCTAAGTCTATATCTCTAGAAGAAGAGTAGGTAACCTTTCAACGTTTTTGGGGTACTATAATCCCTATAGGCCTGCAGTTCCCCTGGATACTGGACAATTAGGTATCTCTACATACGCCGTGTGGGGTGCCTTGTAGTTTGAGGTCCTAAAGTTTACCCGTCTGTCTCGAGTAGCGAAGGAGCAACAACATCAAGAATCTGCGTCACTCGGAAGACAGCAATGCTGCAATAAAGCTGGGGGGGTTCGAGATGTTCAATTTCGATCTTTGAAACTATTTGAAACAGTGGTTGCGCATGCGTTTGAGGCTGATGCGGCAGGCAGGATGTAAGCAATGCAATGGCTGTATGCTCTCGGTTTGGCCCGCCGGTTCGGACGTTGCTAGGGTTTGCAGCCGGTCCAACAACCCTTGAGTAAGGAATATGTTTTCGTGTACTTTTTGTCACCGTGGGGATCCCTTGATAGGGTTGAGACAGATTTTGTGGAATGCCGACCTCAGGAGTCAGCTGTTTTGCTGAGACAAACACAAACAGACGGTTTGGGGCTCAGGGTTTAGGGCTGTGGGTTTTGGGTTTAGGTTTTTGGGGCTCAGGGTTTGGGGTTTAGGGTTGTGGGTTTTGGGTTTAGGTTTTCGGGGCTCAGGGTTTGGGGTTTAGGGTTTGGGGTTTAGGCTTACGTGTTGGGGCTCAGGGTTTGGGGTTTAGGATTTCAGTTTGTCACTTTTTTGCAGTGCCGGGACAGACAGGTAAAGAGAAGAAGGATCTGGAAGCTTCTGTGGAAGATGCCGCCGAAATGCCCCCTGCAGACATCTTTTTATCAAGTAGCACAAGCCCAAAGGCTCCATGTTCCCCTCTAGTAGATATTCAAGCCTTGAAGGGATCCCCATGTAGGTACTTTACGGCCTCAGTATACACTATATGGGTACATGGACCGTTAGGTAAGTGATCCTAGAAATTTCTACACCCGCCTGGACTCGTTTAGGAGTTCATAGAAGATGGAGCCCTCAAGCCCAAAAGCCTACCTGGAAGCTCCATAGTAGTTCCTTTTTGTGGCTCATATTTAGAATCCTTTAAGGTAATCCCAAAAAGGAAGTACTATGGAGCCTATGAGTAAGCTATCCTGAGCTCTAAAACCGATGCCCTAATTTCCGAACTTTAAACCCTTAAACTTATGTAAACCCTAAAAACCCAAAGGCCTAAACTCTAAGAGTCGAAACCCCGACGCCTCATAAGCCCTACCTGGACGCTGACGAACCGACATGTTTAGGGCTCCTTATTGTGATTTCCATATACATATATATATATATATATACATATATATATATATATATATGTATATGTATATATATATATATATATATATATATATATATATATGGTTTCTTAAAAGGGTGGGTTATTTGGGGTCCAGGTATACTCATAGGCTCGATAGTAGTTCCCTTTTGGCATTACCTTAAAGGATTCTCTTCATGAGCCACAAAAAGGAACTACTATGGAGCCTCTAGTATGTCTAGGTACCCTAAACTTCCAAAAGCCCACCGGATCGCAAGTTCCGGGCCCGCACCCTAAGAGCATAAAGGCTTTAGAAGTGTGCAGCCGGATGCAAATGCTTTTGGGGCTTTTTGGGTTTAGGGTTTAGGGGTGAAGTCTGTATAAGGGGAAGGGAAGATGGCAGTAGGTTTAGCGCCGAGGGTGTTAGGTTCAAGGATGCAGCGCTTTGGATTTGCTGCATTGCTTGGAGACGACGTACACAATTTCCCTCACCATGCCCTTTCCATCTTGGAGCAAAGCAATCTATGTGGGTTGGGAGTTAAGCGTTTTGGAGTTTACGGTGTTTAGGGTCTTGGGTTTGGGAGTTTCTTGTTGTGAGGCTTCAACAGTTGGAGTTCGGGGCTTTCGATTCTGGACTTTAGGGTTCAGGCTGCGCACATGGCTCTTCCTATGCTCCCCGCGCCTTAGACCCCACCCCTGAACGCCCAAAATCCTAGAATTTTGCATCGGCAGAAGGCGTGGGTTTTGGCATTTACAGCTAAGGGCTGCTGCGAAAGCTCGTGCCCACTGTAATAACCCTAAACCTTATAGCGCCTTGAACCCTAAACCCTCAGGGCCAAACGCACAAAACATCACCCTGGCTGTAAGAAACAGGAAGCCTTTGAACCCTAAAGCCCAAGCTAAACACTCAAGAAACAGGAACTCTTGACCCCCAGTAGCGCTAAGACCTGCAGCGCTGAGCTGCTGCACAACCCCGAGTTCTCTTGTTCCTGCACTTATCTCCCGTATCAAACCGCTGTAGCCGAACCCTTAAATGAATGTGCAAAGGAGCCCTTAGAGTACCTAGAGGCTCCATGGTACGTAGTTCCTTTTTGTGGCTGATATCTAGAATAAGGTCATAAGGTAACCACAAAAGCAACTACTATGGAGTAGCCACATAGAAATCCTTGCAGGAACCCTGAGCCGTTCTGTGGCTCTGAGGTTGCAAACTGATCAAGCTCTGTCCGAGAAGTACCAGGAGGAGTTCGGTGGCCGTTTAACAACGGGTTCTAGCATTTCGGTGTTTAAAGTTCGAAATGAGTTTTAGCGTTCAACATTTAGTATGAATTTGAGGTTTTACGGTTACGGTCTAGGGCTCAACAGTAGCAAGTAAAGCCTGCTGTGTGCCTGTTCGATAGGTTGAGGCAGTCGCCTGCTGTCCAGGCTATGATAGGTGACATCTGCAGTGCGAACGGATGCTAAACATGGGCAGTGTTCTGAATATATCTCGCTTTGAGGATCCATATCCTCGTACCTACATCTCGTCAGAAAGGCGCTGAAAACAAGCACCTGCACCATTGTGGGAGTTTCTATGTGCTCTGATGCGAGCGCATGCCCCAACCCCGGATTTTCCGGGATGGGGGAGTGTGACAGGACGCCCCAGAATGGGGATATCTAGCAAAATTCTTTGGCGTACTTGGAAATACTTTTTTAATTTTTGGTTATTATAATCCCGAAGAAACAGCTAAAATTATAATTTTTGCTAGGGTTCTAAGTTCAGTATAGAAATGAGGCTCCCCTCATTCTGGCAACTTACATGAAGTTCCTTAACCAAGATGCCTGTACCAAACCTTCCGACACATCTGTACCAGCCTACAATTGCAACCCATTGTTGGGTTTTACGCGGGCTCGAAGAAGGGTTTTGCATTCATGGTTGGCTGTCCGTACCTTGAGCAGAGAGTCCAGCAGTGACGAGTATGGTTGCTTTAGATAAACCCGTACGTTCTCAGTCCCTGATCCCGTGAATATGCAACAACAACAACGTCAGTGAGCAGGATGGGGTATTCCCTGGGGCTCCAAATAGCCCAAAGTAGGAATTATTTATAGACTTTAGGCCCCAAAGTAGGTACTATTTGTATACTTGTTTCCCCAGGGATTCTTTGTAGACAAAATCTCATGAAGTACAAGCTCCAGGCTTTTTTTTGCAAGCTGGGGGGGCCGAAGGTTCAGGATCTGGGCTTTAAGGGTTACTGTAGAAGCCAAAAAGTTGGAAACCCCATAGCCTCAGTCCTTAAGAGTAATGTCTATATAGGGAATCCCAGCACTATTTGGCTTTAATCCGGTTTCCAACTTTATGGGGTTTACTACAAGGGTATACGGATTCGGAGGACCGGCGCCAGGCAGACACGCTGCATGGTTGCAGCTGTGATCTAGTGTGGAGGGCGACAGCTCCGTGATGACGATATATGAACCTTTAAGTTCAATTCTACTAAACTCCCCCCAAACTAGTCAGTACTACTCGTATTAGTCGCCATAGTATATTATTCTGATACTGGTTAGTAAGACTAATGGTAGTCCTTCAAATTGCCTTGTTGAGTTTGCGGACCTCGTCCCTAGATTGCGTACGCATTCTCTTGCATAATGTAGGAACCTGATCAAGAAACCCTGGGCCTACAACCCCAAACAGTAGGATTCACGTAACGAACCCTGATAATGGATGATAAAGGCCCAAGTTTTCTTAATCAAGCTCCTACATTTCCCGCTGCTCTGGTCTTGCACAGAGGCCCCATAGTAGTTCCTGTTTGGGGTTCGTATATAGAACCCTAGAAGGTAATCCCAAAACGGAACTACTATGGAGCCTATGGGTATACCTGGACCCCAGATACCCTACCTTCTTAAGAAACCATCTATAGGGGAAGCATAGTAAGGAACCCTAAACACGTAGCTTCGTCAGGCTCCAGGTAGTTCTTATGAGGCGTGGGTTTTCGACTTTTTGAGTTTAGGCCTTTGGGTTTTTAAGGGTTTAAGGGTTTATAAAGTTCGGAATTTAGGGCATCGGTTTTAGAGCTCTTGGTCCCATGATGAGCGACTCTAAGGTTAGCGCAACGCAGGAACTACATCTAGGGGGCCTTGGGGAAGCCCCGAAGACCCCTAAAGACTTATTGGGTTTAGAGGTTTAGGGTTCAGGGGTTTAGGGGTTGGGGTTTAGGGCTTTAGGGTTTAAGGTTTAGGGTTTAGGGTTCAGGGGTACAGGAAGCTGACGGCACGCCAGTTCCCATGAATCATTGGAGGCATCGATCAAAGACCTGATGTAGTAGTAAACCTTAAACCCTAAAGCCCTAGCGCCCTAAACCCTAACCCCTCAAAACCCTGAACCCTAAACCTCTAAAACCAACAAGCGGTGTTATGGCTTCATTCCCTTGAAGTATGACTCTTTAGACCCTGTACACCAAACCCTACTTTTTTGTAGGTTCTTATTATAAACCTTAACATGGAATTTATAGGGACCCTACAAAACAGTAGGTTTTGGTAGCTTAAGGTATGTATAGAATGTTGTCACGTCCCCAGCAGCCCTGCACGGATGGTTTAGGGCTGGGAGATCCAGGGTCTACCCTAAGGCCCCAAAGTAGTTCCTTCTTGGGGCTCATATATAGAATCCTATAGGGTATTCCCAAAAAGGAACTACTTTGGGGTCTATGGGTAGGGGTTCAGGGTGTCGGCTTTTAGGGTTTGTAGGGCGCATCTGGGCCCTAGAGAACCCTGCTGCTGGTGGCTCTTTATTGTGAATTCTGTATATACGTCTCTGAAAGGGTTCAGGTAGGGGTTTAGGGTTCAAGGGCCCATCCCAAAAGTTGGACATTCGAGGCTGGTGCAGCACATGCGGATGCTTCTGGCCGCGACTGGGATGGATTGGTGCATGCAGACACTGAAGCTCCGGACGCGCAGGGCCACACGCACACAGACATGGACAGACAGGTACACACTCTTGCAGCTCGTTGATGGTGGTTTCTTCATTCTCTCTCCCTCTCTCTCTCCGCATAACTGTTGGGGCTATAGTTAAACTTAGACTTACTAGTCATCGGCAGAGTTTACAGCGTGGTTCAAGTTCTACTGTGAGGGTTCTCGGGTCTTCGTGCTAGAGCATGCAGCAAAAGCAAAATTGCTGAAGTCCCCTCTACAGGTAAGAATATAAGCTACTTTGCCTCTGTAGTTGTAGTAGTATGAGCGAGACAAAGCGAGTGTCGACATACGAATGCTGCGATGAGCAGAGTAATCGCGCTGTCCAGTTTGTATTACCGAGCCACAAACAAGATCTTACCATCACGGAAGTAGTCACAAGCATGGGTGAACTGCAGCAAGTCTTTCTTGGCCAGATACGTAACAGTTAACATGCCATGTCTACGAGTAGTCGACATTGCAGCCGCGACGATTCAATTTTTCTTGTGGCTGCTGTGGGCAGAGCAACAGTGAATGTCTTGTTAGGCTTGACCCATGACGGCAGTAATCCCTAGGCTCTTAACCGAAATCTCGAACAGTCGTTTGATCAGAAGTTCTAAGTCCACTCCGGACCCACAGTCCCAAACCTTCCCGAACCTTCATACCACACGTCAGAAGTCCTTAGGCCACCCCAGACCCCCACCTCGACAAACCGAAACCTTACACGCCCAGGTGAGGCAACTGAGGGACTCGGCTCGAGTCAGGGTGATGAAGCTGAAAGGCGCATCAGCTCCGGTACTCTAATAGTGTGAGTTGTCGTCGTGATAGCACAGCCGTAGTGGCGGTATCAGCGGTAGTACTAGCTGCAGCGGTAGTCGTAGTAGTAGTAGTAGTAGTAGTAGTAGTAGTAGTAGTAGTAGTAGTAGTAGCAGTAGCAGTAGCAGTAGTAGTAGTAGTAGTAGTAGTAGTAGTAGTAGTAGTAGTAGTAGTAGTAGTAGTAGTAGTAGCAGTGGCAGCAGTGGCGGTGGCGGTAGCAGTAGTAGCAGTAGCCGTAGCGGGTAGGAGTGGGGGTAGGTGTAGGATTAGTAGGTTAGTCGTAGTAGTAGTAGTAGTAGTAGTAGTAGTAGTAGTAGTAGTAGTAGTAGTAGTAGTAGTAGTGGTAGTGGTAGTGGTAGTGGTAGTGGTAGTAGTAGTGGTACTGGTAGTGGTAGTGGTAGTGGTAGTGGTAGTGGTAGTGGTAGTGGTAGTGGTAGTAGTAGTAGTAGTAGTAGTAGTAGTAGTAGTAGTAGTAGTAGTAGTAGTAGTAGTAGTAGTAGTAGTAGTAGTAGTAGTAAGTAGGAGTCTGCGTGATCTGCCTTGGAGGGTGCATGTGCTTCCGGCTTTTAGCTTTGGAGGTTTCGGTTCAGGCTTGGACCCAGGGACTCCAATATCCCTTAATTAAGGAATACCTAAGGTTCCTTTAAGGGATCTATAGGGTTGAGGGTCTATGAGACTCCAATATCCCTTAATTAAGGAATATTCCTGAAATTATGGTAGGATCCCTTATATGGTTTAAGGTATATTCCTTAATTAAGGGATATTGGAGTCTCTGGGGATATTGCTTGCAGCACTGGGATTCCGGGTCTGAGTTTTCGTGCAGCTGCTGAGTCTAAGCATGTGGGCATGTGGTACTGCTGATGGACAAAATCCTGCATGAGCCTAAGGACTCTAAACTATGGGAACTGTGGTATATTCCTTACAATGGGTAAAGCAGGATTTTGTCCATCAGCAGTATGGGGCCGTTTTCCGCCGAAACGTTAAGAGAGCATGGCACTCGAGGCTTCAGGGAAAGCAGAAGACTAGAAACCGAATCCAACAGGCGTCCTGCGTTTCGACTTACTATCCCTAAGGGTCCATGTGCCCAAAGGGTATATACCTAGGCCTTCGAGTACTCGTGGTATAGGTACATTGGGCCCAAAACATATACGGTTTGGGTACATGTCACACGGACACTTAGAGTGGGTTACTATATGCTGACACGAGCCTTGTCGTACATCAGTGGCTGCGGCCGGGTTGAGGCGTTTCCAATCATAGGCCCTGACCCCTAAACCCTAAACCCCTAAACCCTAAACCCTGAACACCTCAACCCCTCAGAGCCGTTTTGCCTGCCAAGAGGGCGTTTTCGGCTCGAAGTCGTGTGTCGGGGTCTGGATGTTTAAACCCCTGCAGGAGAACACGTCCACGGCAAGGTCGACGGAAACATGCGGTGCCTCGGACCAGCAATCTGCTGAATACATTCACACTCACTTCCCAGACTATGTGACTGTGTCCTCCAGCCCGCAAACCCGGAAACGACTCTCACACCGAAAACAACAATTCGCCTAAACCCTACACCCAACCCTACACCCTAAACCCTTTAAGCCGTCAAAACTGAACCCAAAAAGAAGCTGAATCCCGAGAGTTGAACCGCCGAGCTCCAAACACCATTCTTTTCAGGAGTAGCATGGCACTCTTGCTGGGCATGGGCACCAAGAGCAATCGAGGCTCTGTGTTTGAGTTTGGATGAAAAGGGGAGGTGGGGCTCCACTAATCTAGACCCTAAGCCCTAAACCCTACTCCTTACAACTTAAACTCCAATCCTGAAACCTAACTCCTTAACGATTTGGGGCTTCCAAATTTGTTTTAATAATCGACGAACACACGCGCGCGCGTGCGTTTGATTGCTCAACATGAAGACGTCCGTTAACAACTCGTAGAAAGCAAAATACTCGAGGCCATAAGTCCTGAAGCCGTTATACAAGCCCAACAACTGCGTTTCAGACTTTAAAGATGCTTGTAGCACAATCGCCCCATGCAACTCGAATTTCTACGGCCGGGTTTAGGGTTTAGAAGTTGGAGGAGATTGTCCCGAAAGCCCTGCAAGCCCTCCTCTGCACTGCTATCATCTTTCACACTTACACTAAACTCACCACGCCCTAGCTTAGGCTCAGTTCACCTAAAACTCCGATAACCCTTGCCCGACTTGCATGTCATAGACTCTATAAACCCTAACGCACAAGAGTCTCCCCCAAAAAACAAAAAATCCCTATGGCCCTAAATCCCTAAACCCCAAAGGAACAAAAATCCCTGAAGCCTTAAGAATCCTGAAGACCCCTGTAAACCCTATAAACTCTTTATCCCGAAACCCCAAACCATATAAGCCCTATACAATTAAGCTATATAAACCTTAAACCTTCAAGCCCTAACCCCTTTCTAGAGCCCTTATAGATCCCTTTAAGGAGCCCTTATGGATCCCTTTAAGGAGCCCTTATGGATCCTTTTTAAGGGAGCCCTTATAGATCCCTGAAAGGGGCCCTTATAGATCCCTTTAAAGGAAGCCCCGATCTCTCCGCAGGGCCAAACGCTGGCCCTGGCCGGGCCGCCGGGGGGTCCTCGAAAGCCTACAAGGGCCGCTTCCGAGATGCGCCCTTCACCGGCCCAGCCGGCGGGGACGGGGCTTTGAGGGTTAATATAGGGTTTAGGGTTTAGGGTCTAGGGTTTGGGTTTAGGGTTAATATACCTACAGGCTCCATAGTAGTTCCTTTTTGGGGTTCATATATAGAATCCTATAGGGTATTCCCAAAATGGAACTAGTATGGAGCCTGTGGGTAGGGCCTAAATAATTACCAATACTATCTTGGGGGTTGCATGTTTGGGGTTTAGGGTTCGGGGTTGAGGGTTTTTGAGGTTTAGCGCACAGGGTTTAGGGCTTATATACTGTTTAGAGCTTAGGGTTTAGTATAGGGGCCTAAATCTTTACCAACACTATTTTGGGGGTTGCTTACTTTAACAAGAGTATAGCGGACCCCAAAATCTAACTTTTCAAACCCCTACATTAGGGGTTTGGGGTTTAAGGAAAAGGGCTTACAGGGATTTACAGGCTCTGTGGGGCTGGTAGGGTTTAGAGTAACATGCGGTTTAGGCTTGTTTTGAGCTTCTTCTGCATTCCGGCTTCGCGGCTTTTGGCAGCAGTGGCTGTTGTGAAGTAGAGTGTAGAAGGGTCCCGCACCCTGTAATAGTGACTATACGGATTATATTAGGGCCCTATTATATTCCTATTAGCTTCTTAGATCTCAGCGACCCTTACGGGGGTAGGGGGGAGGGGGGGTGTAGGGGACTATACTTCCTTAGATAGGCCTTATTAAGTCCTGATTATATAGGTATTAAGGCCCCCCTACCCGCCTAGGGGTCCTTATGATTAAACCCATTCTGGCCAAGCCTCGGTTTTCATGTGCAAGGTGAGAGGATACGACTGCGCGAATTACTCAGTGAATTTGGAACTGCTGCTATGGAACGCAGTAGTGCTGTGACGTGTTTCAGCTCTTGATATGGTTTCCCTGAAACCCCAAAACCCTAGACCCTCAACCCTAAACCCTGAACCCCCCTTATGGTACCCTTATAGTAACCCTTTAAAGGAACCCTTCTGGATAAGCAAATTGAAAGTTGTTGGCTTTTGGGTTGTTCGGGACATGCTGTCAGGCCGCGCGACCCTCGTCTCGAGCGTGATCCCCGGAGAAGCGTAGACACTTCTATTGCCAAACCCGAAACCCCGCAAACCCCAGAGGCCCCACCCATAGGCTCCGTAGTATATAGTTCCTTTGTGGGATTATCTTAAAAGGTTCCAAATATGAGCCAACAGACGGAACTACTATGGAGCCTTTGGGTAAACCCCCAGTCCCGAAACTCCAAACCCCCTAAACTCGTAGCAGGTAGACCAG